GAATTGCTTGAACCAGGGAGGCAGAAGGTACAGTGAGCCAAGATCATGACATTGCACTCCAGCTTGGGTGACAGAGTTAGACTCTGTGTCAAGAAAAAAACAAAAGAACAACAACAAAAAAATTGGAGCATATTTGTTGTGCTCTAACTGATTTCTTCAGAATTTGGAAACTGTGAATATTCTCAATTTATGGCAGTATAGCTAAATGCACAAGTGCAATAAGAATCTGTTTTCTTTTGTAACAGGACACAGTTGGAGAAATTGGTTATTTTACCAAGGCTTTGAATGGAATGGCATGCTTTCTTTAAAGATTCAAAGTTGACTTATACAGCTAATTAAAGCTCATCAGGGAATCTGGCTTCACACCTTGCTCACACAGAATCCCTGTACAAGGTTCCTGACATGTGGCAAATAAACAATGTCACTTTCTAACAGCCCCAGGAATCCCAAATTATCTTGGGACCTCAAGAGGAGAGGAATTTGCTCAACTTTTAGATATTTGAGGGTACAAACGCATAGCTGGACTTGGCTTTTCAAAGTCTTATCTGAGATTCTTCATGGAACAGAGTTCTATCAAAGCCAATTAAAAAATCCTAAGTGAAAAATAATTATTCTTGCTGTACTTCATGCAAATAATCAGGCCAAGTACAGTAAGGCTAAAATTTATTTTGCAAACAAATCAGTTCTATCATGATTTATTTTTAATAAAAATAGGGACTGGAGAGAAAAAAATTATACTTCAAAAGAAAAACGAGGCTGGGCATGATGGCTCACGCCTATAATCCGAGCACTTTGGGAGGTCAAGGGAGGCAGATCACCTGAGGTGAGGAGTTTGAGACCAGTCTGGCCAACAAGGTCAAACCCTGTCTCTACCAAAAATACAAAAATTAGCCGGGCATGGTGACATGCACCTGTAATCCCAGCTGCTTGGAAGGCTGAGGCAGGAAGATTGCTTGAATCCAGGAGGCAGAGGTAGCAGTGAGCTGAGATAGCACCACTGCACTCCAGCCTGGGCAACAGAGTGAGACTCTGTCTAAAAAAAAAAAAAAAAAAAAAAAAGAAAGAAAGAAAAGAAAAACTTAATACACTGTTGTTAGCTGTTCTTGAGGTTTTTCCTGCAGTTAGACTAAATTCTAAATTCTTTGTGGGTTAGAAGTCCTCAAAGTAATGTTTTCAAATCTTTGCTTTTAAAATTGGGAATTGTACCTCTCATCCTAGGACTTGCTATTTACCTTGTAATAGGCTGTTTGCTTAAACACTGTAGTAAAACTACAGATGACAGTACTAACGCTTTTGCCATGCAAGCCTGGGAAGTCCAGCCAGCCCGGCATGGGTACACCCACACAGTTGCAAATCGGCTCCATTCTTCTCACCTTGGGGTTCACTCCCATTCCCACTACGTCCCCTGTCAGCAGGAAGAAGCCAGAGCAATCGAGGCCTTTTCCCCTCTTCTTAGTCTACACCTTAAGATGAAGGTGTTATAAAACCCAAAGGGAGGGATTGAAACTGCCTTTGCAAAATTATGACTGAGACAGTGAAAGAAATCCAACTTAACTGACTCCATCTTGCTTCTAACTTCCAAGCTGTCCTTCATTCTTGGACGTAGGCTAAACTAACTTTGGGAGAAACTTAATTTATAGTTTATAGTTTAAACAGATAGTAACAGCCCTTTCCCAAAGCTGACCTCCTTGCCTGGGGACTAGATTGCTTTTGTAGGACTAACATTAGCCACAAGATTAGAAATTATGGTCTAGGAGTCATGCAGCTGGAGGCTACAAGATTCTGACCCTCTCTAAACTGCTCCTAAGAACAGTGCTTGGGATATTTTCCAGACCCTGCACTTGATGGATCAGCTGGCCCCACCCAGATCAATAAACTGGCTCATCTGATCTTGTGGCCCCCACCCAGGAACTGACAGAGCAAGAAGGCAGCTTGGACTCCCCATGATTTCATCTCTGACCAATCAGCACTCCTGGCTCGCTGGCTTCCCCCAACCCACCAAGTTCCCCTTAAAACCTCTGCTCCCCAAAGCTCGGGGAGACTGATCTGAGTAATAATAAAACTCCAGTCTCCTGCAGAGCCAGCTCTGCATGAATTACTCTTTCTCTATTGCACTTCTCCTGTCTTGATGAATTGGATCTGTCTAGGCTAGGCAGTAGGCAAGGCGAACCCCTTGGGCAGTTACATTTACGACCTGTATCTTGTGCGGACCTCCTGTCTCACCCTGTGATGGAGAACGCCTAACTGTCTGGGAGTGCAGCCCAGTAGGTCTCAGCCTGATTTAACCCAGCCCCTCTTCAAGATGGAGTTGCTCTAGTTCAAATGCCTGTAACACACCTGGACAGACTTTTGTCACAAACCATTGTCTGCTCTGCAGGCCCAACAGACTTTGTCCCAGGACATTGTGTGCTCTTCAAGCCCATTGAATTCCCCTTAAAAATCATTTACTACCCCTAACCTTATCCACACTTTCCCATCTCCCTTTCCCCTAAGAAGGGTATATTTTAAAAAAGCTTGTTTTACTAACATAAATTCCTCCTCACAACTACATAGTAAAACCAACCCCATTTTACAGATCTGGAAATTGAGCCTCAGAGAAGCACAGTGACTTCTGAAACATCACACAACGACTTAGTTTGTAGAGTAAGAATTCAAACCCAATTCTCCTGACATCCAGCCACTGCTAAGGAGATTTACAATGACATTTTTCAAACAGAAAATTAGAATTCTTTTCCTGTTTTCATTTTTACTTTAACTTTGAGATGTTATTTTCCATGAACATAGAAGCTGGGCCTGTCTGCATTCTGTCTTCTATACTTAATTAGTTTCAGTTTTATTTTGCTTGGGTCAGCTCAGTGACAGAGCAACCCAAGACATCAGTCATTAAAAAAATTAAAAATAAAAAGCTTGTCCTGGAACTGCTATGAAGGGTTTGATGTTCTCAAATTCCAGTCTGATCCCTGAGGTGGGATGAGCAGTTTGCCTTTCACAGACTGAGTGTGTTTTTTAGCAAAAGTGGGCTACATTTGGATGCTAAAGAGCTGATAACCTGAAAAGCTTTGAAATTAAAGATACGGTTCTTTTCCTCCCAGGCAGAAGGAAATTACACCCTCCAAGTGCATTCAGCATTTGACTGTTCAGATGTCGTTTGCATCTGTGATCTTTTATCCTCACCAAAAACCAGAACACAAGACACAGCATTTGGGAAAGTGCTTCCAAGAGATCTGGCAAGTGCACTTTTTTTTTTTTTTTTTGAGGTGAAGTCCTATTTTTTCGCCCAGTGGTTCGATCGTGGCTCACTGCAACCTCTGCCTCCCGGGTTCAAGCAATTCTCCTGCCTCAGCCTCCCTTTTAGTAGAGATGGGGTTTCACTGTGTTTACCAGGCTGGTCTCAAACTCCTGACCTCAGGTGATCCACCTGCCTCAGCCTCCCAAAATGCTGGGATTACAGGCATGAGCCACTGCGCCTGGCCTAAGTGCACACTTTTATTAACACAATGCCCATCTTCCAGAGGTGGATACTGAGGTCTGGGAAGGTAGAGTAACACTGCCCATGATCCCACAGAGCCTGATCCAGAACTTGAGCACAGTGTATTTTCCTGTATTTGGGGGTTGAGATTGGATTGAGTTAAAATCCCCTCTCTGGCCGGGTGTGGTGGTTCATGCTTGTCATCCCAGCACTTTGGGAGGCTGAGGTGGGTAGATCACCTGAGGTTGGAAGTTTCAGACCAGCCTGACCAACATGGTGAAACACTGTCTCTAGAATTGCTTGAACCTGGGAGGTGGAGGTTGTATTGAGCCAAGATTGCGCCATTGCACTCCAGCCTGGGCAATAAGAGTGAAACTCCATCTCAAAATAAATAAATAAATAAAGAAGAATCCCGTCTCCACACTCCTCAGGACAAGAAGGTTCTGTTTGTTTATTCATTTAATTATTTCCTTTGCAAATATGGAAATGGATCATGTTCCTATTTAAAATATCATCATGGTCTTTAGACTAATGACCAGATAAGTATGACTTGTGAAATATGACCATTAAAAAACAAGAAAAAGCCATGACCAATTAGGATGATCATCATAGCATGATAGCTTCTTCTTTTTTTTTTTTTTTAATGGAATTTTTGTTCTGTTGCCCAGGTTGAAGTGCAATGGCACCATCTCAGCTCACTGCAACCTCTGCATCCCGGGTTCAAGCAATTCTTCTGCCTCAGCCACCCAAGTAGCTGGGACTGCAGGCTCCTGCCACCACGCACAGCTAATTTTTGTATTTTTAGTAGCGACAAGGTTTCACTATATTGGCCAGGCTGGTCTTGAACTCTAGACCTCAGGTGATCCACCCACATTGGCCTCCCAAAGTGCTGGGATTACAGGCATGAACCACTGTGCCCAGCCATGATAGCTTCTTGAAGAGTATTCATTAATTATCTGTATAAACATAAAATTATTTATAGGTTTTGACTGGGAGTAGAGAAAAGTTATTGTCTGACTTCATTGTGGAACACCTCCAGGGACAAAAGACTCATTAGCATCTCAGCAGCAAGAGATATCCACTCATTTTGCCCTAAGTCAGTCCCAAATCTTCCTTCCTATAGTTCCTCTTCATCCATTAGTTTGAGTTCTACCCTCAAGAACGCCACAGTGTCAGCCTGATCACTGCCCTCCCAAGTGCTGGTCCTTTGCAAGCCTGAGATACCATATGGTGGCAGCATGTGAGTCCTGGCACCTTCCCTCACTTACTGTGAGACCTTGACCAAGCAATCCCAACTCCCTTCCTGTCCTAGAGAGTTGATTATGGGCCTTGAATCTTAAGTGTTTAGGGCTGTTTTAGTCACTGTCCTCCAGAGAAACAGAATCCATATGTATATGTAGATGTATGTGTAGTCATGCATTGCATAATGACATTTCAGTCAACAATGGACTGCATATACAAGGGTGTCCCATTAAGATGATGCCATTATTTTTGCTGTATCTTTTCTAGGTTTAGACACCCAAATACTTACCATTGTGTTACAGTTGGCTCCAGTATTCTGTACAGCCACATTAACTACAGGCTTCTAGCCTAGGAGCAAAAGGCCATAGCACATAGCCTCATATGTCAGGCTCTGTCATCCAGGTTTGTGTAAGTACATTCTGTGAGGTTCCCATAGCAACAAAAAGCTGAACAACGTGTGACGCATTGCATTGAGTGACACATGACTGTATAAAAAGAGAGAGAGAGAGACTGAGATTTTGTATAAGTAATTGGTTCCCATGATTATGGAGGCTGAAAAGTCCCAAAATCTGCAGTCAGCAAGCTGGAGACCCAGAAGGGCCAGTTCTCAGTGCTCAGACTCCAATCTGAGAGTGAAGGTCTGAGAACCAGGAGAGCCAAGCTCCAGTCTGAAGGCAGGAGAAGACCAATATCCCAGCTGAAACAGTCAGGCAGAAGGAGTCCCTCTTGCTCAGCCTTTCATTCTATCCAGGTCTTCAGGTATAGGATGCGGTCCATCTACATTAGTGAGGGCAATCCGCTTTACGCAGTCTACAGGCTCAAATACTAATCTCTTCCAGAAACACCCTTATGGACATGTCCAGAATGAGGTTTTATCAAATGTCTGTGTTCCCGTGACCCAGTCAAGTTGACACATACAATGCACCATCAGCAGAGCCATTGATTTCTTCTAAGTGCTGCTTTCTTGGCTTCCCACAGATTCTGAAATGTTGTGTTTTCACCATCATTCAGTTCAAAGTATTTTCACATTTCTCTTGTGACTTTGTTTCTTGTTCATTTTTTATTTATAAGTGGCATGTTTGATTTTCAAATATTTTGGGGATTTTGTGAACAGCTTTTTAATTTTATTTTTAACTGTGGTAAAATACACATAACACAAAATTTACCATCTTAATCTTTTATTTTTTTGAGACACAGTTTCACTCTTGTTGCCCAGGCTGGAGTGCAATGGCACCATATTGGCTCACCACCATCTCTGCCTCCCGGGTTCAAGCAATTCTCCTGCCTCAGCCTCCCAAGTAACGGGGATTACAGGCATATGCCACCACGCCCGGCTAATTCTGTATTTTTAGTAGAGATGGGGTTTCTCCATGTTGGTCATGCTGGTCTTGAACTCCTGACCTCAGGCGATCTGCCCACCTCAACCTCCCAAAGTGTTGCCATTATAAGCATGAGGCACCATGCCCGGCCAACCATTTTTTTAAAAAACTGATGGAGTCTTGGCCAGGCACAGTGGCTCATGCCTGTAGTCCCAGCACTTTGGGAGGCCGAGGCTGGTAGATCATGAGGTCCGGAGTTCAAGACCAGCCAGGCCAAGCTAGTGAAACCTTGTCTCTACTAATAATACAAAAATTGGGTGGACGTGGTGGCAGTTGCCTGTAATCCCAGATACTTGGGAGGCTGACACAGAGAACTACTTGAATCCTGGAGGTGGACGGTGCAGTGAGCTGAGATTGCACCACTGAACTCCAGCCTGGGCGACAGAGCAAGACTCTTTCTCAAAAAAAAAAAAAAAATGGAGTCTCACTATGTTGCCCAGGCTGAAGTGCAGTTGTTATTCACAAGTGCGTTCATAGTGTACTACCTCCCCAAATTCCTGGGCTCAAGAGATCCTCCAGCTTCAGCCCCCCGCATAGCTCGGACCGCAGGGGCACACCACCACACTCAGCCCATCTTAACCATTTTTAAGAGTGCAATTCAGTGGCATGAAGCACATTCACATTTTAAAAAAAATTTTCATTTTTATATTTTTATTTTATTTTTATATAGAGACGGGGTTTCACCATGTTGGCCAAGATGGTCTCTATCTCTTGACCTCGTGATCTGCCCGCCTCGGCCTCCCAGAGTGCTGGGATTACAGGCGTGAGCCACCGCGCCTGGCCCATTCACATTGTTATGTAACCATCACCACCATCCATTTCCAGAACTTTCCATCTTCTCAAACTGAAACCCTGTACCCATTAAAACAAACCCCCAATCCCCAGCGTCCCAGCCCCTGTCTCTATGAATATGGCTTCTCTATGTACCTCACATAAGTGGAATCATCCAGTATTAATCCTTCTGTGACTGGCTTATTTCACTTAGCACAATGTTCTTAAGTTTCAGTTATGCTGTAACATGCAACAGAATTTTTTTCCTTTTTAAGGCTAAATAATATTCCATCGTATGGATGGACCGCATTTGGTTTCTCCATTCATTTGTCGATGAACGCTGGGGTTGCTTATACATTTTGGCTCTTGTGAATAATAGTGCTATGAACAGAGGTGTACACATATTGCTTAGGGACCCTGCTTTCCATTCTTTTGATTATCTACCCATAAGTGAGGTTGCTAAATCATACGGTAATTCTAGCATTAACTTTTTTTTTTTTTGAGATGGAGGCTCATTCTTGTTGCCCAGGCTGTAGTGCAACGTACAATCTCGACTCACCGCAACCTCTGCCTCCTGGGTTCAAGCAATTTTCCTTCCTCAGCCTTCTGAGTAGCTGGGATTACAGGCAGGCACCACCACTCCCAGCTGATTTTGTATTTTTAGTAGAGATGGAGTTTCTCCATGTTGGTCAGGCTGGTCTCGAACTCCCAATCTCATGTGATCTGCCTGCCTTGGCCTCTCAAAGCGCTGGGATTACAGGCGTGAGCCACCGTGCCTAGCCCTGTTTAACTTTTTAAGAAACCACTAAACTGCTTTCCGCAGAGGCTCTGCCATTTTACATTCCCACCAACAGTGAAAGGGGTTCCAATTTCTCCTCATCCTCATCATCACTTGTTATTTTCTGTGTTTTTGTTTGTTTGTTTGTTTTACATTAAACAGGCATGGGCCTGGTGTGGTGGCTCATGCCTGTATCCCAGCACTTTGGGAGGCCAAGGCAGGTGGATCATTTGAGGTCCGGAGTTCAAGACCAGCCTGACTAACATGGTGAAACCCTGTCTCCACTAAAAATACAGAAAATTAGCTGGGCATGGTGGCACGCACCTGTAATCCCAGCTATTCTAGAGGCTGAGGCAGGAGAATTGCTTGAACCTAGGAGGTGGAGATTGCAGTAAGCCGAAATTGTGCCACTGCACTCCAGCCTGGGTGACAGAGTGAGACTCTGTTTAAATAAATAAATAAAATAAAATAAATATAAATTGAAAAACAGTAGTCATCCTAATGGGTGTGAAGGATAGTGTGTATTAGTCAGTGTTCTCTAGAGGGACAGAACTAATAGGATGGACATATATATATAAAGGGAAGTTTATTAAGTATTAACTCACACAATCACAAGGTGCCACAATAGGCTATCTGCAAGCTGAGGAGCAAGGAGAGCCAGTCTGAGTCCCAAAACTGAAGAACTTAGATGTTTGAGGGCAGGACAGGATAACTTGGAGCTAGATGTTTGAAGACAGGAAGCATCCAGCACGGGAGAAAGATGTAGGCTGGGAGGCTAGGCCAGTCTATTTAGTCTTTCCAAAATTTTCTGCCTGCTTTATATTCTAGCCACGCTGGCAGCTGATTAGATGGTATCCACCTAGATTAAGGGTGGGTCTGCCTTTCCCAGCCACTGACTCAAATGTTAGTCCCCTTTGGCAACACCCTCATGGACACACCCAGGATCAATACTTTGCATCCTTCAATCAAGTTGACACTCAGTATTAAACAACACACAGTGTATCTTTAAATATTGTCTAATTTAATGCAATTTTTTTTTTTTTTTTTTTTTTTTTTGTGAGACAGAGTCTGGTTCTATTGCCAGGCTGGAGTGCAGTGGGATGCTCCCAGCTCACTGCATCTTCCGTTTTTGGGTTCCAAGCAATTCTCCTGCCTTAATCTCCCGAGTAGCTGGGACTATAGGCATGCACCACCATGCCCGGCTAATTTTTTGTACTTTTAGTAGAGATGGGGTTTCACCATGTTGGCCAGGATGGTCTCAATCTCTTGACCTCGTGATCCACCAGCCTCAGCCTCCCAAAGTGCTGGGATTACAGGCATGAGCCACCGTGCCCAGCCTAATTTAATGCAATTTTTGAGACTTGTTTTGTAATCTAGCATGTGGTCTATGTGCAGTAAATATTTTATGATCAATTGAAAACAATGTTTATTCTACAACTGTTCAGTGTAATATTCTACAAATATCAACTAGGACAAGTTTCTTGATAGTTTTTTAAAAAATATTCTATTAATATATGTTTCCTAATGTTTCATTTACTTTTTTATTTACCGAAGGGAGGTGTTAAAATCTTCAGTATTATGAACAACTAACTTTATGCTAACAATTTGGTTACCTAGATGAAATTAACAAATACTTTTTAAAAACATAACAAAATGGACACAAAAAGGAATTTAAAATATCGATAGTTCTTTATCTGTAAAAAATATATTAAATTTACAATAAAATAGTTTGCCACAAAGAAAACTCCAGGTAAAGACAGCATCTTTGGGGAGTTCTAACACACATTTATAGAAGAAATAATACAAACTTACACAATCCTTTTCAGAGCATAAAGGAGATGTACATGTTTCTCTATTCTTTTTTTTTTTTTTTTATTGTAAGAGACAGGGTCTCACTATGTTGCCCACCTTGGCCTCTAACTCCTGGGCTCAAGCAATCCTCCTACCTCAGCCTCCCTAGTAGATAAGACTATAGGCACATGCCACCATGCCTGGCTTTCTCTACTTTTTAATGGGCCAGCAGAACCCTGATACCAAATATTGACAAAGACATTACAAGAATGGAAAAATACAAATCAATATCCCTCTTGAACATACCAATGTTTAACAAAATATTAGGAGACAGAACCCAGTAATATAAGAATATAATATATCACGGGCCGGATGTGGTGGCTCACGCCTGTAATCCCAGAACTTTGGGAGGCCGAGGCAGGCAGATCACTTGAGGTCAGGAGTTCGAGACCAGCCTGGCCAACATGGTGAAACCCTGCCTCTACTATGAATACAAAAATTAGCCAAGCATGATGACGGGTGCCTGTAATCCCAGCTACTCAGGAGGCTGAGGCACAAGAATTGCTTGGACCTGAGAGGTGGAGGTTGCAGTGAGCTGAGATCGTGCTATTGTACTACAGTCTGGGCGACAGAGTGAGACCCTGAAAAAAAAAAAAAAAAAAAAGAATGTAACACATCATGACCAAGTAGAATTTATCCCGGGAATGCAAAATTGGTTTGCCATTTAAAACTCAATCAATATATCTGGCACAGTGGCTCACGCCTG